TTTTGCCCCCCTTGCCCCTGCAGCCGGAGGAGATGGGGAGTGACCGGCGCTCGGAAATGACCCGAGAACCAGGTTGGAAGAAGCAGGGGCGGGGCGACCAGGACAAGAACTGGAAAGGGGCGCATAACAAACTGAGACGGATTTGCACGTTGGGGAGAAGGCGGCGGCGGCTCCGGGGCCCCCCGCCTTCCACGTGGATGAAACCAGCGAGGGGACCTCCCGCGCCCGCGGGAGGAGAGGCGACTGTTGGCTGCGGTCCCGGGCAGTGGAGGGCGAGTGGTTTCGGGGGGGAAAAAGGTTTTTTTCTTCTCTTAATTGGAATCGTGATGGTGTTGGATTATTTCACTGGTGGGGTTACTATAGCATGTTCTCCTGTCTATCTTTTAAAGATTTCTGTATGAGACTGTTGAGCAGTTTTTGAAATAGTGTAGGATAATATAAAAAGCAGATAGATGGCGCTCTGTTTGACTCCTACAACAAAATTATCACCAGCTTTTTTTCATTCTTAACTGTTTAAAGGATTCAAACGCAACTCAAATCTGTGCTGGACTTTTAAAAAAAACAATTCAGGACCAAATTTTTTCTCAGTGTGTATGTGTTTATTCCTTCTAGGTGTAAATGAGAAGACGTGTTTTTTTTTCCCCTCACCGATGCTCCATCCTCGTATTTCTTTTTCTTGTAAATGTAATCAGATGCCATTTTATATGTGGACGTATTTATACTGGCCAAACATTTTTTTTTCTTATTTTTGTCCCTTTTTTTTCTTTCTTATTTTACTTATTCCTTCCTTTTTCTATTTTTTTCTTTCGTTCTTTCTTTTTTTCCTTTTTTTTCTTTTTTGTAGTTGTTGTTACCCACGCCATTTTACGTCTCCTTCACTGAAGGGCTAGAGTTTTAACTTTTAATTTTTTATATTTAAATGTAGACTTTTGACACTTTTAAAAAACAAAAAAAGACAAGAGAGATGAAAACGTTTGATTATTTTCTCAGTGTATTTTTGTAAAAAATATATAAAGGGGGTGTTAATCGGTGTAAATCGCTGTTTGGATTTCCTGATTTTATAATAGGGCGGCTGGTTAATATCTCACAGTTTTAAAAAAATCAGCCCCTAATTTCTCCATGTTTACACTTCAATCTGCAGGCTTCTTAAAGTGACAGTATCCCTTAACCTGCCACCAGTATTCACCCCTCCACCCCAGTCTTATGAAAAGGGGAGGAGAATTAGCCAAACACTGTATGCTTTTAAGAAAAACACATTTTTTAAACAAAATACTGTTCTGTGCAAAGGCTTTAAAACTGGTGCATTTACAGCAAAAAGGGATCCTGTAGCTTTAATTTGTAAACCACATCTTTTTTGCACTTTTTTTATAAGCAAAAACGTGCCGTTTAAACCACTGGATCTATCTAAATGCCGATTTGAGTTCGCGACACTATGTACTGCGTTTTTCATTCTTGTATTTGACTATTTAATCCTTTCTACTTGTCGCTAAATATAATTGTTTTAGTCTTATGGCATGATGATAGCATATGTGTTCAGGTTTATAGCTGTTGTGTTTAAAGATTGAAAAAAGTGGAAAACATCTTTGTACATTTAAGTCTGTATTATAATAAGCAAAAAGATTGTGTGTATGTATGTTTAATATAACATGACAGGCACTAGGACGTCTGCCTTTTAAGGCAGTTCCGTTAAGGGTTTTTGTTTTTAAACTTTTTTTTTTTTTTTGCCATCCATCCTGTGCAATATGCCGTGTAGAATATTTGTCTTAAAATTTAAGGCCACAAAAACAATGTTTGGGGGGAAAGAAAAAAATCATGCCAGCTAATCATGTCAAGTTCACTGCCTGTCAGATTGTTGATATATACCTTCTGTAAATAACTTTTTTTGAGAAGGAAATAAAATCAGCTGGAACTGAACCCTAAATCTTGACTTTTGTCATTATTATGCCTGAAGCCTAAGATTAGGAGCGCCCTACAGTGTGTGGAAACTTCACCATCTGCCTTAGCATTGAAACCAGTGAGCCTCTCCGAGAGGAGACTGTTAAATGCCATCTTATTGAGGAATAAATATTTAGTTCCTCTCGGCCAAATGTGGCAGGCCTTGACCCTGAAATGATGGCATCGGCTGAATATGTGTCAACTCTACACGCTTTCTAGGAATTCTCTGAGTTTACCACATTTTTTAAATCGCCCTTTGTCTTGAAATTTTAAAAGGGGGGAGGGGCAACGTGGACCGAATTCCTTAAAGACAAAACTGGCTGGCTGATCTTTTCTTAACTTTTATGTTCCTAAAGCTGCTTTTCTCCTTGACTTGCCCATGGTCACCACCTAGCAGGGCTAGAATTATTTTCCTCAGATTAAGAACAAACAAGCCTGTTAAATTATTAATATATTGTGGAGGAGAAAGCCATTACCAATTAAGAAATGTGAAAGTTGAATGATTATTTTCCCCTCAAAAGCAGGAAGGTTCATTTGGTGCTAAAATCTCCATTTTTGTGTCAAGCCCAATATGGTTATTAATGTAAGTGAAATGCAGCAATAAGGACGACCTGGGAGAAGCTGGCTCCCTGAGGGCAAGGAGGCGAGCTCTCCCCCTCCGAATTTGTGAATAGCACACGCTGAGCTAGTGGAGACTTACACTTTTTATAAGCATCAGGCCCACCAGTATTATTGAGACATGCATGCCTTGGATGTCCTGAGGCTCATTAATATTTGGTTTGGAATCTGCAACTTAACTAAGTAGCACTATTATTTATTTTGAGGGTTAACAATTGCCATTCACAAAACCCCTCTTCATTTTCCAAATGTTTGTTAATTAAAAATGTGTGCTTTATATTTCTTATAATTTTTCAGCACTGGAGAGGAGGGGTTAAAAGGAGTCTTTGGAAATAACCCTTTAGTCATCCAGGATTGCTTATAGGTAAGGGAGTGTCTATCCTGGAGTGCCCAGCTAGAAGAAGACATTTTTGGAGCCTGTGGTCCAAAACAAACAATTTTTGGGGGTCAATGAAAAGCAATAATTTCCCCCTCCAAAATAATAGAATTGCCGTGTTTCAATATAATTTCACCTTTTAAAGATCATTATAGCTACTAATTTCCAAATTTTTCTTTTGCGTATTTGCTAATATATTTCATTTTAATTGTATTTGTGTTCTGCAATTGTAGTATCTTGTTGTTTTTCAAAGACCTTAAAACAACATGGTGTCTTAAGTCTCTTCAAAGATCTTTGCAAAAGGAGAAAGAACTCTTCTATAAAGTGCTTCAATTTAATTTTGTTCATTGTACTGATAGTATGATTGTTTAGTTTTTTCAGATCTAGGTATCAAAACCAAGTCATAAATAAGCCTATATGAAGTATATTTTATTTTGTAAGGTTCTCTTGCTAGAACTATGTTTATTTTCCCATTGACTTTCCATGTAAGGGTGGATGCTTTAAATATTTTCTTTAATGATTTTGATAATGTTGCTTTAAAAATAAAAGCTTAAATGTGCGTGTCTGTCCTAGGAGGTGACAGAGTAAATGTAAGAAACATTTTTGTACTTTTCTTCCTCTGAATCAATTTTCATTCATAAGAGATACTCACGTGTTAGGTGGTACAAGGCATAATAAACCTGAGAAACCAAACAGTTTAGTATGACTTTTTCTTTCAGATAATTTGGATCAATAGAAAAGAACAAATTTCAGATTCTCTTTTAAGAATATCAACCCATTTTTCTTTAAGGACATTGCTTCTGGCCCTGTGCACCATCAGAGTTGCTTACGCAAGGTTTGTCAATTCCTAATTGAATACCTATAAGTGCCAAGCAAAAAATAAAGAGCATGTAAGCGGATGTGGAGGGCTTCCTTGATTTGTGCTCACTGTGGGGGTGGGGTACTAGAGGCATTAAATGATTCTGGAGAAAACGAGAGAAAGCAAGGGATTAGGAAGTGGACATCAACATTTGTGAGTACTGTATTTCCTGTGTTTATAGAGTACTCATGAATTAGAAAACACAGTTTGGGTAATGCTATGGGTCAGAATGTTTAATCATAAATTTAAAAT